GGTTTAATCGTAAAGAATTCAATCGTCACTTTGTCATCAACTTTCTTATTAAATTCTGAGAATATTCTAAATATGTGTTTCGCTCGAGCGCTAGCTTTGGCACAGAATATCAGGAGGCGGTAAACACGGTCCATATACCAGAGAATGCAGTTAGTCGGAACTATGACAAGTTCAAAGTTTGCATTATACCTGTATGGCTGGGCTGTAGTTCAGTGACATAATTGGAATATTTCTTACTCTTGAGATTGATGGTTTTAACGAAGACGCAACCAACAATTTTGCCATCATGCTGGAATTAAGAACACCAAAGATGAATCTAGTTTTGTAATGGCTCTGAATGAAAGCGCTATCGTTACTCTCTACGTCGGTATCTCTACACATTGATTACTATGAAGATTGCGAAACTTCCAAACTCTCAAGGGCCAATGAGCGTACTTGCTCTTTGTTGATTGTGTCTAGTTATTACGTCATGTGGCACCTTCCATTTATAGACAAGAAACGATTCGTTTTGAGTAGAAAGAGACACTGCTGTGCGCATATTACTACTGCATCACAATAAACTGAATTGCAAAGAAAATATTACAAAGAGACTTTTTACAAAGGCATATTTTCTGCAAAATTAGTGTGTAGTCAATTGCAAAAGCTTTTTTAACTTGGAACGCAATTCGGCGGTTAATGTCCCTGCTGTGTCTATAATTGGGAGTCCATTATAATGAGGCTGAATCCAGATTTTGGTTAGTGTATTTCCTATTCAAGAATCAATGCCCAAAACGATTACTTCTTGATTCTTATGCTCCATGTGATTAAAATACCTTTCGTATCATTTATATCTATATCATTAGCAGACGAAAATAGACGGAATGTCAATGGATACAAGATAATCGTATTAGTTATTTTTTACGAGTTTATCACATCCCCCTTTCCCCCTTCCCTCTCCATTGAATCTCAATATCCATTACTTGCCATTATGAAAAGATTTGGGAGTATTTATATTCATACATTTCGCCGAGACGTTTCTATTAATAGTACTTACGGGTTTTTTTTCGGGTGTGAATAATAAACTGTGGACGGTGACACTCCATTCTTTTCGTTGACTTGCCATTCTGTTGAATGGTAAACTGCATTTCACTCCGATAACGTCAAAAGCAGAGAATGCGATTAGCATCGGTGAATACCGCAGATTTCCGACATAAAGGGTCAAACTAAATGAAGTTTGCCCGAAATAAAAAAAAATTCCGTGTATTAATTATCGTTAAACTGTTGAATGCATAAAGTATCCGGGGTACTTTTAATCAAACAAAGTACGGAAAGTGCTCTGTTCTATAGCGATGCTCACAAACGAGGTTAATATACAACGTGGAAACTACGCGTATGTGTCCATCATTCGGGGTGCCTATCGTTGGAGCGTATATAAGATTTTCAATTTCACGTGACGTAACTCGAAAGAAACGATGCTAATACTAATACACCACCTATCATTATAATGTTATTTAATCAGAGTGCATGCGAATACAATTGTATGACACCATATATTATTTACAGCATAGTACTTTATATCCTATCCGAGAACGGCTAACCATGTTACTCACAATACAAAAGCCAATCTCAGAAACATCAACAGCGTCGCACAAACATCAACAACGTCACAAGCATCGCCTACATCACATCTCTAATGGCTTGTTCATTGAAACATTAAAGTATTTTTACTTCAATTATTTCCCCTTGAGTGTCACACAATTTACAATCCGAATATAACAAGTACATTATTATTAATAAATGACTATAAAAATATACAGTCTACTATATTTGGGTGTATATTAAAACCAATTTACACAAATTAGACTATATATCTTATTTCACACATATTTTATCCCTCCTTTCCACACTCCCTCCTCATTCTTCCTTCATTCATCGTCCCACCCTCTCTCTCTGTTGTGAGGGCAAAGAAGAATTTTATTATTTTTTAAAAAAAAAAAACTTGTTATAATAATATACACCCTAATATTAGACATAAATAGACTGTACTCATAGCTTCTCCCCCCCCCCTTCCTCCCCCAGACCTCTCTCTCTCCCCCCCCTCTCATCTCTTATATATATATCAGGCGCAGGCTGCTTGTTTATACTTTACTTGCGTATTTGCAACACTGCGTATCCACAACAGTAAACATCAATATCAACACTCGAATAAACTGCTTTTCTAGTACGACGCTTGATACCACATAGAGCGCATTCTCTACTGTTCATACTACCTTCAAAACAACCAACCTTATTGCAGGCTCTCACGTGTTAATATAATTCAATTCATACAGTAATGGATCCGGAATCCACTCCCCATTTCATTAACGGTCGACACCCTTCTGTTAAACGTCCTAACCACCAACTTCCCGTCCAGCGCTCATCGAACAACCAGGACGTTCCTTTACCCGGCTTTACTCTCTACAATCCAACAAGAAACACGACTAATTCATCTCTCCATCACACCGGGAGCTTAAGCGTAAGAAAAAACTTTAGCGGAGGTACCCGCAACAAACATACTCGCTCGGCTACCGTAGCTAATATCGAGAGCGCTGCTAACGACACCCGTAAAACCAATAACCGCACACCCGTCTTGCCAAACCCAATGCAATCACATCCCCAAATTCACAAACGTGGCTTCTCCCGTACAATGAAGAGCATATCTTCCTTCATTCAAATAGGCGTAAACATTCCCCCATACGTATCATTCCCGCTTACAATCGACAAGTCATTATCAATTGAACGATTGGCCAGGCAGATCGAAGCAGAATATGCATTTAAATTTTCCGGAATAGATCAAAATTGTTACGAGCCCTTGGAAGTCGGTTTATTATATGATGTAGGAATGTTGGCTTTGAAGTTTAGAGACATTGTCGGTGATGTTTTGGAACATGGAGACGTGGTAAATGTGCTTAATGTCTACGATGAAGGTAGGTGATTCAGAGGGGTGATTATTATTATTATTATTATTATTACTATTATTATTATTGTTGTTGTTGTCGTCGTCGTTGTTGTCGTTTACGGATAAATACATAACACTTACATCAAGTGCTACTAATAGCGCATTATTGCTACGGTTTTACCGTCACATTGATTAACATGTTTTTCCTTCTTCTCCAATCCATCAGATTACCAACGAAATTCGAGCGTGGAAGGCTCGGAAGACGAAAGCATTTATAGTCGAGCTGATTACGGCTGTGAACAAGATATCCCGTCTGTACAAAATTCACAATCTTCACATTATTTACTGCAACATAATCATCAGACTTGGCACAAAGATGCTGCTGCAGACTCGATCATGGGGGAAGCAACTAATTCAGAAAACCAAATCCAGAAAATTATATCACAATCTGACCAGCGTCTCCGTGCAATTCTATCCAATATTCTTGCAATGACTTTCTTTCAGAAATTCACTGTCCGCGAATACTCTGTCGAAAATCTCTTATTCTGGCTTGACGTGGAGCTTTTCGCAGCCGGTGTCTCTGGAACGAATGAAGATAACTATTTTGATGAGAACCAGACTGCAGTGATACATGCAAAGTACATTTATCTGACTTATGTGCATTCGCATGCACCATTGCAAGTGAATCTTAGTGATGAGGTTAAGAGAGCGGTACCGTGGCCGTTGGACGATGATTGCGTTGTTGATAGGCGGATGTTCGATGAAGCACAAGAATCAGTTTATCAGTTGATGAAGGGGCACACTTTTCTTAGGTTTGAGGAGAGTGAAGAATGGAAAACTTGTGAAAAGATCAAAAATGAAGGTATGTATGGAGTGAATGGCGAACGTTGGCAAATGAGAATTGATGATAATGGGAAGATGCGACTGAATATTAGTGGATACCAACAGAAAGAATTAAAATTTTTATTGCTTTGTCCAACATTATAGACCCCCAATGCTACGCTTCATATGAAATGACCGAATCGATTGACAAATATTTCAAGCCCAACATGTCATTGATGTTAGCTGTCACAATGGCACTCGACTATGGTCTAGACGCTACTCCGATATCCCATCACTACAAAGAACAAACGCTCCATTCCATGCTTTCTCAATATTTTCCCGAAACTATCCTAAACAATGTGACTAAACGTCAGCACCGCCCGGCTTCATCTGTTCCATCGCATGTCGTTGAAGGATACTTTAACTCTGAAAATCGCATGACGTCTGCTCAGCGCATGCGCCGCATTAAAAAGGAACGCAAACTCCAATGGGTATTTGGCGAGAAAGTCTCTCGTTTAGACGGACAAATTGTCATCATGCCCAACAATGACTTGATGGAACACGACAATAGGAGTAGCGTAATTTCAATGGTTTCGGAGACTTCTCGAAAGACTACAAAAGACGTATGGAACAGGAAAAAGAAGGTTGAGAAGCTGGAATCCATTTTTGGAAGAGAGCTAAGAGATTCCCAGCTAATTTCCCAGAATATTTTTAAGAAGAACGGAAACGCAAATGGAGAAAAAGTGTCAAAAGAGAAACCGGCCGACCAAGAAATGGAAAAAAGTCTCAAATCGCCGAACGAGTTAAGTCCCAAAGAGCGACGAATGCTATGGAAAAAGACGAAGAAGCTTCAAGTAGTTTTGGGACAACCACTGGATGAAAATGTAGTATGGCAATCGCTTACTCTACCAGCAATAAATTCTACCACCTCACCTCGAGGGAAACAGTTTTCGCCTACCAGTCTTCCGGTATACGACTATCCTGCTCGAAATCCAGATGGCACCTTATCTTACGTGCGCCGGATTCCTCGTCGTGCTTCTGATCCTATGCCGCCCTCGCCCTCATTATCAGTCACCAGTAATTCTTCATCTTTGTTACATTCCCCTCTTCCACCAGCACCATCCATGTATTCAAGACCTCGATCGGGAAGTTTTGATTCTGCTACCTTTAGTATGTCCGAAGTTCCATTGATCATTGTTAACAAAGATTCTAAGGAATATAGACGCAAAAAGTTGCAGAAACTGTATCACTTTCTAGGAGAGAAAGTGCCTGTGCATATAGTTCTTGGAGGAGAAGCCGAAGATATAGATAAAGAAGATTCGTCTCAGAAAGCAAAACGTAAAAATGGTCGGCCACATTATTCGCGGTCTAAACATTCTTCATCGGAAAATGTAGCTGACCAGTCTCTGCGAGAAGATGTCCCTAATAAATTGTCCGCTGCAGATAAGAAGCGCCATTTGCAACGTGCGGTCAAGTTGGAGAAGGTCTTTGGCGAAATTCCACCGCAAGACCTCTTTAAACGTAGCCCTACAACGAATCCTGAACACGAAAACTGCGCTGATTTAAATATGCACAGACTGAGTATCGTGTCGTTGGGTTATTTGATGGACAACGACAAGGAGGCAGTGTACGAGCTAATAGATTACATGGCCGAAAGTGACGAAGATGATTTCACATCGTCACCCAATGCCATAAACTCTGCCGCACATTTCGACAGACAGGCAATCTCAGCCCCGTCGTCTCCTCACTCTGAATCTCCGCATCAGTCTCGATATTTGCACTCTAAGCAATCTCGAATGCGAGGAATACGCAAGTTATCGCATTTCTTTGGAGCTACATATGGTCAGATGTTCCCTGATCAAGTACTTGGAGAAATTTTGGGGGAGATTGAGTACGAAATACACGAGGCGTCACGTAATGACAACGTGGATAGGGCTGTGGTAGATGGATTAATGGGACAATTACATACTCTCAGAATGAGATCCGGAGAATTAGCTCCTAGCGATGACGAAATGGAAGATGGTGGGGAAATAGACAATGCTCGTAGCGTCAAATCTGGAGAAATCGATAATGAGTCGATATATGAAGATGTGAGGAAATGGTATGAGAAGAATGGAAGTGATAGAGTCTTATTACCTGTCAATTAAGGAACTAATTAATAGTCGAATATGTAGCTGATTCATTGTTTAATTGATGAAGTCACGGCTTGTTCGCCCTCTATATTGTACATAGTATACTTCATTTCTTCTGGGATTGCATGTTTGTATTTATAGTAGCACTTAATTAATTCCATTATTTGATTTCTTTCGTGCTAATTTATTTAAACAATAAAGCTGTATTGCATTAATTGAAGGCACGTGTATAATGCCAACCGTTCTAACAAGAAATGACCAAACGTGAATATCGTAATTGAACGCCGCTCTTGCAATAATAGATGTTGGGCATACGACTCGGGAGTTTGAGCAGGATGTTTCTCGCCGCTTGTCCATTCTTAATCCGCATCGAAACTGCACAAGTTCGTTCCGCAATGGTGCCGAAGGTGCGATGTTAGAAAATTTAGCAAGTTGTTTATTCCGGCGCATTTTTTCGATGATAACCGGCTGCTTGTTTGAGTATTGCTTCAATGTCTGTGCTAGTATAAATATCGGGGACGACTCCAAAAAAGTAACATGATTACTTGACCATGTTTGGTAACAAAGGGTAAACACGCTTAATCAACTAAAAGTGGCATCTATCATTCCTGTTATGGCCGGCATGCTTGTCATACGCTAAATCTGTAAATCAAGTCAAATATTTGCTTGCAATCTGCTATTGGCTGCATGTTTCCACTCTGTTTGTCATGTCTTAACTAAATTTTGGCCCATTTTCTCCAGTAATAGGCAAAGCAGTTTTTTTATTTCGTTTGAAGACAAAGTTATACTCTTCTTTGACATGTACTTGTAGATTTGGCTGACTTTAGTATTTAATTTGTAAATTAACATGTAGGCTGTTATGCAAAATGTGGTACGTTATTTAGTTTGTCCTGATAACATGGAAGCAGATGTTTGATTAAGATGCTTTGCCAAATGACGAATTGTTACAGAGATACAGAGTTAAAGACTAGTTTGCTGTTTTATTGAAATATGCCACCCTTTGTTTTAAGTTGAGCTTCATCTTGATACCTATTACTATAGCTTGTTCTAAAGTTATGGCACGGAAAAGGAAAATACTAATTTTTATTCGTGTACGAACTTTGACCGCAACTTTATTAAATTGTACTTACTGATGCAGCGTGTTATATTACAATAGGTCTGTTTAGTACAATTGACCACTTTGCATGCATGATGACCTACTGAGAACGTTCGGTGTATACACCATCCTTTAATAAATCAACTCTCGCTGCCTGTCGCTGTTTCTCCAACTGTTCCAATATGACTTCTCCGGTCACTAGCATCTCACATGCTTCGCGAAAAGTCGCTAGCTCAACACCATCATCGATAAACGACATCTCGTTTACATTCTTTGTGGGTTTCTCGCTCGTAGTAGTGCATCTACTCGTACTTGTAATTGTACTACGCTCTTGATCCCATTGCCCGTTCATTCTTTCAATAGCTCTCATTGTGTCTGGTTCTTCTTCAGATTTAATCACTATTGGCGTTTCGGCAGTTTTCGCATGTGCGTTGTTACCGAAACAATTGTTATTCCTATTGTTGTAGTAATCATTTTCTGGCTCTGGTATACACGGATAGTCTTCGATTACGGACTTTAGAGTATGAATTTGACGCTCCAGTTGCGCATACACTAAATTGCTAGAATATAGTCTCTTGAGGAGAGCATTTGTTCGCTGTAATTTTCTCTTGTCGACAAGTATGCGGTTCAAATAGAAGCATAGTGCAGTCAAGAGGATAAAAAATGCTGTTATAAGCGATTGATATAATGAATTCATAAGATGAGGACGCCTTATTTTATATAAACGAAAGGCTTTGTTGTGAAATGATCAAAGACTGGCGTCTTATGCTCCGTGGTTTTGGGTCACTGAAGATCGACAGATCGCATAAACGTTCCCACGACGCGGTAATTGAATCATGAGCCAATTAACAAACGATGTCATACATCACTTGACAGTGACTGTAATGATGTCCATGCAAATTAGTCTCAAAAAATTGCTTATTTTTAATGGCTGCTTATTTACCTTGTTATGCACTACTCGTGCCAAAAAACAAGACACTGTCTTCAATCCGCAATGGCAGAACACAATATATTTAGTTTGCCGAAAGGAGGAGACACGTTTGCCTCACTCGGACAAATAAATTCCGAGTCAACGATTGTTCTTAAAATATAATCCACCTAATAAACAAAGCCGTCACGCATTCTAACTCTTGTTCAACCGATCTATCCTTTATCCCTCACACCCGTAATTAATCTATACTATACAACCCATTATTCTTCTTTCTGCACAGTCAACGCAATTACGCGTACTCCTCCTTCATTCTCCTCAAATAGCTCCTTCGGTACTATTCCCAACTGTCGGCCAATGGTA